CTGAACTAGAACTGAACTAGAACTGAACTAGAACTAAACTAGAACTGAACTAGAACTGAACTAGAACTGAACTAGAACTGAACTAGAACTGAACTAGAACTGAACTAGAACTGAACTAGAACTGAACTAGAACTGAACTAGAACTGAACTAGAACTGAACTAGAACTGAACTAGAACTGAACTAGAACTGAACTAGAACTAGAACTGAACTAGAACTGAACTAGAACTGAACTAGAACTGAACTAGAACTGAACTAGAACTAGAACTGAACTAGAACTGAACTAGAACTGAACTAGAACTGAACTAAAACTGTTATAATTAGGGTCTAAAAAGGGCGCGTTTGTATAAAAGTCTAAGAGATACATTAAAAAATTACTAAAGAATATCCACTCTAAATCACGTATATAATTCTTATTTATTAAAAAATAGGTATTTTTTGTCTACAGTTTTATTACGTTATATACATACCTACATATGAATTTTTATGAATATACATATGTATGTGCATTTCTATATGAATTCTATAGTGGCTGATATCTGTTTGACTTCTGTTCATTTCATATAATATTTTTGTTTGTGGGCGTTTTGCCACATAATTGTTTTCATTTAAAAAATATTAAATAATTCATTAATACTCATCTTTATTGTATGTGTGTAAATGGTGTATGTTTGGTATCAATGTATGTATGTATATCATTTTTATTTATTTTGTAGCACTTTTTCAATTTAATGTTATTAATTGTAAAGGTATACACCGATATACATATAGCTATGTGTACTTTTATGTACAAACATTATATTAACTTATACATACTTACATATATGTATATGTTGTTTTTTGTTATTATTAATATTTATTTATGTTGAATGTATATTTGTATGTACATACATATGTATTTAACTTCGGTTTATAGATTTGTCTGATTGTGTAATGATTTTTATTAATTCCCATTTTAACTTAATTAAATATGAAAATAAATTAAATTTAATTAATTTGAAAATACCACAAATTGCCTTAAAACAATTATGTGAGTATATTTATTTATATGTAGTATATGGGTCTTTTATATAAAGAGTATTCGGGTGTTTAAATCATTCCGATAGTTTCATTGTTTATTATCAGACTATATTTCTTAAATACATACCATGATTTGTCCAAAAGGTGTCCCGTTATCCGATTTCGGTAAAATTTTACACCAGTCTATATTTGAAGATAATATTTATAGGACCTTTCAAATAAATGTTCGTGTTATTGATCTCTTTACGTTCATATTTTGAAATTTTATTTTTCGGTTAAAAAATATGTGTCAGTTTTATGTTGCCAAGTTCAATTTTTCTTCTTGAACCTAGTATAATATTTGGGCTGTTTGTTCCCCTTGTACTACCCTATATACCGATATACAACCCTTTTCATCATAATTATTTTGCTCATAGTAATATTAATTCAAAAAAGTGTAAATTTTTTCGTGAACAACAAAAAACGTCTTAAAAATTTTGCCAAAAATTGCCTTTTCCTAAAATCTTTCAAATTGCAGATATGTACATCTAAATAGTGATTCTTTCAGATTTTTGGTCTCTTCATATTTTTGCAATAAAATCCAAATATGTTAGTAAAAATCTATATTTTAAACATTCAGTATGTATGTATATAAATCTATTAAAGATTTATACCACAAAAATTTTCCTAACATAAATATAACGGCTTCCTATATTTAAATTTATTTAACGTTATTTCAAAGCTTTGAACAATTTTATGTTTTAGCTTTTTGCCTATAATAAAAAGCTCTTAAATAAAGTGTTTACTGTTATAAATTATAACAATATTTTAAGCTTTCAGCTAAAGCTGTTTCATTTTCCCACTATTGTGTTTATTTATATTCATGCCTCAAAGTATGCATTGCTTTAAGCGAATAATGGTATTTTAAACAACACTGTAATATGTATACAACTAGAGGCGCTGATGTTGCTGTCAAAATATATTGTTTAAAATGAATTGTATGGCAGTTCTCTAGTTTTAGTTTAACCACTGTTGCCAGATAAAATTGCGAAGAAATTGTCAACATAAAGAAGTAAACTTGAAAATTAATTAAGTTGTTGAAGAAGTCAAAGTATATTTTTATAAAGAAACTTTATTGATTTAGTTTTAGAAAAAATATGTGATTTTAGTGATATTATCCACGAGATCCGAATCTTCAATAATTCTATCAGATATGTTTTCGAGAAGCTCGCTATTTAAAATCAGCATAATTCTGATTCTGTATGTCAATAACATACAGCTTTATATGGTAAATGTTGTTCTTGAACTTAGTTTGATTGTTTATAAAAACAAAACACGGCAAGAATAACACGTTAGGTATGATGTCAAGTATCTAACAGAGTTATAAGAATCTATACTGATACACAAGCCGCCATTAAATCCCTGATCGATGTATATTCTACATCAAGACTTGTCCAAGAATACCGGACGTCTCTTAATAAGATGGCGAGTCATTCAACAATTACCCTTGTTTGGGTCAAAGGACAGGGAGACACAAACGGCAACAATATTGCTGATACTTTATCGAAAGCTGGGACGAGAATATCTACTCTAGACATAGTCCCACTATAGGCCATTAAGAAACACATATATGTACATTTGCTACATGGTTTATCTCCAGACCGCTGGTCTCATGAGCATACTTCCTCGATTGCAAGGGACGCTGTGGCCTCGCATGGATCTTCATAGAATACCCTTTCTAATAGGTCTCTGTAGAACGAATCTGTGCGCTCTTTTATCAGTTATCACTGGTCATTGCAAATTTTGAAATCATGCAAGACGCATGAGCCTTCCATATAACGACATTCTCTAGAAGCTGCCAGATTGAGAAGGAGGAGGAAAACAATTACTAATTTTCTGTGTAACTGGCCCGGCCGATAACGCGGAGAAGGCGAACAAGGAGAAGGGAAGGGCAGGCGGGTGACGGACGGACGGACGGAACGTCGACGGACGGACGGACGGACGGACGACGGAGCGGACGGACGGACCGGACGGACGGACGGACGACGGACGGACGGACGGACGGACGGACGGACGGACGGACGGACGGACGGACGGACGGACGGACGGACGGACGGACGGACGGACGGACGGACGGGACGGACGGACGGACGGACGGACGGACGGACGGACGGAGACGGACGGACGGACGGACGGACGGACGACGGACGGACGGACGGACGGACGGAGGACGGACGGACGGACGGACGGACGGACGGACGGACGGACGGACGGACGGACGGACGGACGGACGGACGAGGACGGACGGACGGACGGACGGACGGACGGACGGACGGACGGACGGACGGACGGACGGACGGACGGACGGACGGACGGACGGACGGACGGACGGACGGACGGACGGACGGACGGAGGACGGACGGACGGACGGACGGACGGACGGACGGACGGACGGACGACGGACGACGGACGGACGGACGACACGGACGGACGGACGGACGGACGGACGGACGGACGGACGGACGGACGGACGACGGACGGACTGACGGACGGACGGACGGACGGACGGACGGACGGACGGACGGACGGACGGACGGACTGACGGACGGACGGACGGACGGACGGACGGACGGACGGACGGACGGACGGACGGACGGACGGACGGACGGACGGACGGACGGACGGACGGACGGACGGACGGACGGACGGACGGACGGACGGACGGACGGACGGACGGACTGGACGGACGGACGGACGGACGGACGGACGGACGGACGGACGACGGACGGACGGACGGACGGACGGACGGACGGACGGACGGACGACGGACGGACGGACGGACGGACGGACGGACGGACGGACGGACGGACGGACGGACGGACGGACGGACGGACGGACGGACGGACGGACGGACGGACGGACGGACGGACGGACGGACGGACGGACGGGACGGACGGACGGACGGACGGACGACGGACGGACGGACGGACGGACGGACTGACGGACGGACGGACGGACGGACGGACGGACGGACGGAGGACGGACGGACGGACGGACGACGGACGGACGGACGGACGGACGGACGGACGGACGGACGGACGGACGGACGGACGGACGGACGGACGGACGGAGGACGGACGGACGGACGGACGGACGACGGACGGACGGACGGACGGACGGACGGACGGACGGACGACGGACGGACGGACGGACGGACGGACGGACGGACGGACGGACGGACGGACGGACGGACGGACGGACGGAGGACGGACGGACGACGGACGGACGGACGGACGGACGGACGACGGACGGACGGACGGACGGACGGACGGACGGACGGACGGACGACGGACGGACGGACGGACGGGACGGACGGACGGACGGACGGACGGACGGACGGACGGACGACGACGGACGACGGACGGACGGACGGACGGACGGACGGACGGACGGACGGACGGACGGACGACGGACGGACGGACGGACGGACGGACGGACGGACGGACGGACGGACGGACGGACGGACGGACGGACGACGACGGACGGACGGACGGACGGACGGACGGACGGACGGACGGACGGACGGACGGACGGACGGACGGACGACGGACGGACGACGGACGGACGGACGACTTACTACTTACTTACTTACTACTTACTTACTTACTTACTTACTTACTACTTACTTACTACTTACTTATTACTTACTACTTACTTCCTACTACTTACTTACTTACTACTTACTTACTTACTTACTTACTTACTTACTTACTTACTTACTTACTTACTTACTTACTTACTTGTGTGTGGGAAATAAAAAATCATAATTTAAAAATTTCAGAAATTAAATGTTATTTATAACTCGCACAGTCCTGATTGAATGAAAATCTGTTAAAGGGAAATTTCTGGTACTTTTTCGTTTTTTCAACTGTTTGCAACACACTATAGCTAAGTGTATATGAATTCGGCACAGCCAATTGTATTATAAAATATTTACAGAAAATATAGTTGATTTCAAAAAATAATCTTTATTATAATAAAATATAACCTTTATCTTCTTTATCTTTGTATATATTGGAAAATGTTTTAATCTTTTCAATAGCAGTCTCAAAATTCTCCTTAAATTCTCTAATTTCTGCAAAGATAAAAAATCAACTTTTCATTAATTTATACAATAACATTATAACAATAATTTACCAATTCTGTAGCCACAAATTTTTATGGATTTCAAACGTTTCGGAAAGTTTCGATGATTAATAATAAATTTCAAAAATGAATGATCATTGTGTAGAAATCTATTATAACGTATCATAAGTATTAGTTTGGGATTATTGTGCAGTAGATTAAACCAAAAATCTTGTACAATCTTAAAATAACTATTTAAGGAAATATTCAAAAATGTTAAATTAATTCTCTTATCTTCAAATTCCATTAACTCTTGATCATATATATCATAATCAATTAAGTAGTCATCGTATTCATCATAACCATCAGGACCTTCTAGTTTTGTAAGTGTAAAATATCTTAAATTGGGATGTTTTAAGATAATCATAATTTTTGAGAATTTTATTTTTCTGCCAACTCTCAGGGTAAGTTTCTCCAAAGAGCTGAGGCTATATAAATTATTAATCAATAATGACGAGGGTTCTGTTATTAACGTTCTAAGTTTGCCACAACTAGTAGCCACGTAAATAGGCACCTGTGCAAAATTATCATGCCAGGTAAGCGATGATAGATTTCTTAAATTCAGACCATCATTTATTTCAAATAATTTCTTTAGATGATTTCGTTGACAATTGTTAACAAGTACATTTTCCAAAGTTGGTGCCACTGTAAAATACTCAAATATTCCTATATATTCTGTGTCTTTAATGGAAAATGTTCTTAGTTTCATATTACTTAAGATGGCCATTAAATCACGCCATATCAAACCCGAACAATTCTCCAAAACAAATGTGTTTAAAGTAGAAATGGTGGCAAAGCTACTGATTTCGAAATTTTGTAATTTTAAATATTCTAATTGATTACAAGTTTTTTGTAGTTTCTTAAAAAACTCTTCATTAATTGAGATCAAAGCCCATGATTCCAGTACCAGTTTCTTAAGGCATTTAAAATTAGTTAACATTAAGTTGTTGAATTTTCTAAAAATACGTTGAGATCGAAAATAGCCTATAGTTAATTCCTCACAAGGATTTGTTAGACCTAAAGCTTTCCTAGTAGCTATAGCATTATCATCATCCTCGTTTATAACAAAGTTTCTTATTTTTATTACTAACTGCAGCATATTTAATTTATTTAATATTTTATTTAAATCATAAGTTAATTCTTTATCTACAGTATCGGAAACTGTGATTTCAAGAATTTTCAATTCAGTCATATTTTGTAGGGTGGTAATTTTTATATCCTCTCCTATTACCAAGGTCTTTTCGTTGCTATTAAAACAGTTATCCAAACACATTTTCTCCAACTTGTTGCAATATCTATTCAAAAGTCTTAAATCTTTTTCGCTGATTATAACATGTTGAAAACTTATCGCAGTAAGATTTATAAATCTATGATGCTGATCAAATGTCACTCCGAATTCTGTGGGACTAAAAATAAGTGAGCTACTTTTCATCACTTCACTTTCATCGTTGACAATTTTATAGTTTATCGTTGGTGAATATAAAACTAACATTTTTATGTTATCAACTATTAACTGTAGAAAAGTATCAACATCTTTTCGATTTAATATGGTCTTATCCTCTTTAACACACTCGTAGCCAACCTCATTGTCTGATTCATTATTCGCTGTATTATTTGTCAGCAACATTCCGAAATGTTGAGACATTTTACATACTTCTAGATTTTTGTATTTGTTTTTCCATATAAAATCAACAATCACTATGCGAAACTGTGTACAGACTTTAGTCAATTTTAACAATTCTTCCAAGTTAAGATATTGAAAAATTTCGTATAAAACATCAACGTTTGTTATTATTTTTTCCATTTTTATTCACAAAATTTTATCGTAAACTAATTACACAATATATGAAAATAATTTGTTAATGTTTATATTTACAACATATAATCATCAGCTGTCTTAGTGATCGAATGTGATCTTATTGTGGGATGCCACTTAAATAATATGATTTTTCAGCTGTATTGTTCAAATACAAGTGTGCGATCAATAATCAGATATAATTAATGTTTTAAAATTGAAAAGTAACGTTCGTTTTTTTAAACGCTTTTTCATTAAAATGTGTTAGCTAGTTTTAAAAAGAGCAATTTCATAACGATCCTGACTGTAAAGCACGTATTTATTATATTGCTGCTAAATATATTACGTAGACTAGGTAATGGGTGGACATCGGCCGAATAATTCGGGTCATTCCGATACGTAGAACCGCCTGTCGGGGAATGATGTTCAGCCAACCCTACTTCACTCTGTCCAATGGATTTATGCACGCATCCAGTTGAAGTAGCCCAATTTTTAGGCCTGGACATTGATGTAGAACCCCCTAACTAGATTATTGTATAGTTTTAGCTGTTACAACAACAACAAACATCTTTCCAAATTCATCTAAATATTGAAAAATATTGAAAAAAAAAGTAATAAAATAACACTCTCATTATTTTGTTTGAAATATATTTCTTTTTATTTGTTTAAGGGCTTTTTTATTTAACACTTAATGTGATGTTAATATTGTTGTTTTTATTTTAATATTATATTATTAAATATGAAACCAATACAAGCTCTTTCTGATTTGCTTTTATCCTTGATTACCATGTATGATGGTTATTTATTATCATTATTATTTAAATTAATTTGAAACTTAACAATACGGTTAGTAATATTTTACATAATTCATTATTAGTTTTAATAATTATAGATTTTTTGCTTTTAACTTAGATTTATAAACAAAAAATTTGACTAGTATTTAATTCCTTTACACAATTTACTTGTTTGCCTATTTTCTTTTTTTTCTCAATTTTCTTTGCTTTTGCTTTTTAAATTTCCATTTCAAATTGCTTACATTTTCCGTAATAAAAAAAATGATAATAAAAAATAGATTTTATAATTAATTTTTAACATTAACTGATAGTTAATAAAAAAAAGTTATAGTAAAAGTAATTTTAGTTTTATAAATTAAGTTAATTCCTTTAACTGTTTTTTTTTTTTTGTGATATTTCAGTTACTGAGTATTTTTAAAGTATATATATATATAAACTGTTTGTTAGATTTTATATTTTTAACTATATAATACATTTATATAAAAATTAACAAAGAAAATAATACAAAAAAAATTTATACAAATTCTTAAAAAAAGTTAAAATATTTACAAAATAAAATTCATTTTGTTGGTTGGTTGTTTTTTGTTTTCTAAAAAATTATCAGTGATTAAAAAAAATGCTTTAGATGGTTCTGTAATTTGTTTGTCTTATATAAATAAAATTTTAAATTCCTGGTCCATTCATACATTAAGATATATATAACAGTTATTGTATAACATTTAAGGGTTTTCTATAATAACACTTTTAGTTTTTCTTTTAACATTAAACATTTGTATATGGTCTGTACATATATATTTTTTTTAACAAATAAAAATATGTTTGTTTGAGACTTTTTCATAAAAAATACAAAAAATAAATATCTTTGTTTGTAAAATCCAAAATATTAAATTAAAATCAGTACTTTTGGTTTACTTTGTTGGTTTTCCACAACATGTCTAAAAACTCATGTTGTTCTAGGTTTTGTGATGTTTGTTTTTGTAGTTTATTATTAAGGATATTTGTTTGTTGTTTTTACTCCTACTATACCAATTTGTTCAATCTATTAGACTTTACTTTCTGGTCCTTCGGCAACATTTTTAAAAGCCAATCGTATTCTGGTTAAGAAATGTGATGATATATGACCATAACTTTTATTATACCATTCTGGAGTTTTACCCCTAAAATTAATTAAAAATTAATAGAGATCTTAAATAGTTTTTTTATATGTTTAGTGCTTTTCAACTTACTTGACATCAACTCTTGCTAAATGCATAACCCTTGATCTACCACTACCACAGGGTTCAATGAGATAACGAGAGGCCAATACCACACCTCGTACAGCATTAAACATTGGCTTTGCCTTGGCATGATCTATAGAGGTTTCAACAATAACACAAGCACCTCTAGGTAAATCAGTGCGCCAGGATCTAGAAAAATGAAATACCAAAATATAAATTCTTTTCTAATAACTTCGCTAAAAGTTTATTTTCATTTTACCTTAAAACACAAAATCTGTACACTGTTGACCATCGATGGCATATTGGAAAATTTCCGTACAATCATCAAATTTCTTAATGGTTTGACTTTGTAACAGATTAGGATCCCAGGAGGCACGTTGACGTATAATATAATCTAAAACATCTTTGGGAGGACCCTCGATTTCCGTTATACAACGCCACAAACGTAAGGGATGACCATCACCTACTTTTTTATAGGCAATTTCAACATTGGGATCAGCCAAGGAGGTTATAGTAATCCATCCACGCGATCTATTATATAACGGTAAAATATTATTTTAATTTTTCCCAAAAAATTAAAATTAAATCAAAACTTACTTTTCTCTTCCCTCTTTAATGGTGGCACTGGTACTTTCATATAAATAACCTCGCCAGTTATGAAATTGCATGCCTTCTCCTAAGGCCTCCAATGGCAAAGGTTTCGATTCTTCCATGTAACCAAATTTACACTTGCCTAGCTTTTCTTTGGGGGCTGTATAGATTTGCTTGTAGTGTTCTATCATAAAGGACAGGCACTCATGAGAAGCCTTGGCTTCAAATAGCTCCTTGGCATCGGGTACCCCTGAACCTTTGCCTTTGCGTCGTGGAGAGGCAGTAACTGAGTTACTACCCGTTGATATACTGCTATGGAATAGGGAGGGAGCCAAACATACTGCCAAGTTATTGGCAGTCATTTGATTGTATTGGGAATTGGCAGCGACTAATGTTAAAAATTCTAATAAGGCATATAGAATTTCACGATTCTCATCGGGCAACAAAAGGACGGCAGATTGTACAGCATCCAAACGGACTTCGGGAGGTAAATCTAAAAAAATGGAAAACTTTGTTAATAACTTTAAAAATCCTAATAATTTCAAATCTGGAAAACTTACGTTGAAATATGGCCGCAAATGTCTCCGACATTTTGGTGGTCAACAACGATTCGGGCAAATCTCTGAAATACTGTTTCAACATATCGGCCACATCATATGCCTGTTGTGTATCAAACACATCCATGCATTCTGCCGTAGATTCTGAGTATTCAATTAGTTCTTTCAATTTTAAAATTCTCGATTTAACACCACTCTTACGGAAGAGACCAATTTGATCTAAAGCATTTAACTGTAACCAGCGGAAGGCCGCCCTCACCGCAATGGGTAATGTTTGACCCGAACGTTGTAAGATTAGAAGTAAAGGTACACCAAATACTTTCTTATCCTTATAGTCGGGCATTTTGATTTTCTTGATAAATTTCGGCAATTCCCAATTCCAGCCAGAACGGTGTGTGGGGCAATAGCGTTCCATATAGCCGGTTAGAGTAACCAGGGCCAGTTTGCGTATCATTTGTAATTGACCCGCTGACATGGCAGCGAACAGTATGCCATGCTCATTGGAATGTGGATCATTCTTTTGTTGAAAACACTTACGGAATATCATGTGGGGGTCGTTCTTCCAATTGAAAACTGTGCCATCTAACAACGGGGGTTCTGTATAATATAAAAAAATATATATATTTCAAATGTAAATATAAAATATTCTATAAAAAGTTCATTTACCTCTTAACACTTTCACTGGGTTCTTCTGGTTTTGGTTCCTTTCTTGTTGTTGATCTAGATCTAAAACTGGCCGAACGAAAACCATCCCGTTTTTTACCATCTCTGCCCAAATTCAATGAACCTCCTCGTGATAATTTCTTAACTTTAACTTCGGTTGTATTAGAGTTGGCATCTTTTATAAGTAATTTTCTACCCTGATGACACTCGGAGTCGGAGTGGGCTCCTATATCGTCTACCTTTCCCGTGCGCTGTAAAAATCTGCGCGTCTTACAAGGTGTTTTACGTAAAGCCAATTTATTAGTGGTGGAGGAAGATTCTTGACTATCGCTATAGTACGAAGAGGAATCATCCGATTTGCCTTCCTTCAAATAGGGCATAGTGTTGGTAAAGAAATGCAGCGGACTTGCTCTCATGGATCTGGGAGTGGTGGGTGTTCTCTTGGGACTGTTTCGATTAGGACTTAAGAAATTGTCACTCTGAGATGGTACCTTTAGTTCATTACCAAATATAGGAGCCTTATTGAAACCATGCATGGGACTAACCGCTGACGGTGAGGGTGGTGTAGAATATACAGCGTCTGGTTTACGCATACTTGCCCTCTGTCCCAGTTGTGAGAGATCTAAGGCTTGACCACTCAATACTAAACCTTGCCTTTTTCGTCTTCTCGATTTAATGGATTCTACTCTACGTAAAATGGCTTTAGCACCATCTTTTAATCTCTCGCTACCCGTCCTTCTCAAAGGACTCGAATTAAGATCTGTGCTATCATTTAAAGCAGGATCTGTAGAATCATCAGTATAGGTGCCGGGTAGGGCTAAAGTGAGACCAGCTCCCGATACATCATATGAATCGTCCTCAAAACGATCGGGACTAGATTCTTTGGAAGATGATTCGGTTTTTTTCGGCGGCTTGTAATTTGGCGGCAGGTGGTATTTCAAGACCCATTTCACCAATACGCGACCAGCGTCGTATATGTGGTTGGAATGTCCAGTTTTCGCTTAAAGCAAAATTTTCATCATCTGAATCCTCTTTCTGAAATACATGAGGAAATCAATGTGTCATTTAGAGGTTGTTTTTAACAAATTAAAAAAATAATAAAATAAATTACTAACCTGGGGCGTTTGAGTTTTATGAGATTGATCTACACGCATATTGGCACAACGATTTAATATACACAAACGTCTGTACAGGGATTGTAATTGATCATTTTCCAAATTGGTATGATCTTTGGCAACATTTGTTAGGTCAATAGGGAATTGATGATCTAAAAAGATAAAAACACATAATTTTTATTAGAAATATGTTTTTAAAATAATTAACTTAAAATACTTATTTATTGTAATATCGCTGATTCATAAAGTTACTATTACTGAACTAGAACTGAACTAGCACTGAACAAGGTCTGAACTAGAACTGAACTGGAACTGAACTAAAACTGAACTAGAACTGAACTAGAACTGATCTAGAACTGAACTAGAACTTGAACTTGACTAGAACTGAACTAGAAATTATCTAGAACTAAAACTGAACTAGAACTTGACTTGAACAGAACTAGAACTTGACTAGAACTGAACTAGAAATGAACTAGAACTGAACTAGAACTGAACTAGAACTGAATTAGAACTGAAGTAGATCTGAGCTACAACTGAACTAGAACTGAAATAGAACTGAATTAAACTGAACTGGAACTGAAAGACTGAACTAGAACTGAACTAGAACTGAACTAGAACTGAACTAGACTGAACTAGAACTGAACTAGAACTGAACTAGAACTGAACTAGAACTGAACTAGAACTGAACTAGAACTGAACTAGAACTGAACTAGAACTGAACTAGAACCTGAACTGGAACTGAACTAGAAACTGAACTAGAACTGAACTAGAACTGAACTAGAACTGAACTAGAACTGAACTAGAACTGAACTAGAACTGAACTAGAACTGAACTAGAACTGAACTAGAACTGAACTAGAACGGAACTAGAACTGAACTAGAACTGAACTAGAACTGAACTAGAACTGAACTAGAACTGAACTAGAACTGAACTAGAACTGAACTAGAACTGAACTAGAACTGAACTGAACTAAACTAGAACTGAACTAGAACTGAATTAGAACTGAATTAGAACTGAACTCGAACTGAATTAGAACTGAACTAGTACTGAGCTAGTACTGAACTAGAACTGAACTACACTAGAACTGAACTAGAACTGTACTAAAACTGAACTTGACTTGAAGTTGACTAGAACTGAACTAGAACTTGACTAGAACTGAACTAGAACTGAACTAGAACTGAATTAGAACTGAATTAGAACTGAACTAGAAACTAAACTAGAACTGAACTAGAACTGAATTAGAACTGAATTAGAACTGAACTCGAACTGAATTAGAACTGAACTAGAACTGAACTAGAACTGAACTACACTAGAACTGAACTAGAACTGAACTAAAACTGAACTTGACTTGAAGTTGACTAGAACTGAACTAGAACTTGACTAGAACTGAACTAGAACTGAACTAGAACTGAACTAGAACTGAACTAGAACTGAACTAGAACAGAATTAGAACTGAACTAGAAAAACAAAAACCGGATGCGTAACTCGTAATTATTTGCCAAATAAATTCTGGGCACAGAAATAGTTTCGATATCGCGATTTTTATAACAGGATTTATTTCCAACCTTTCAAAAACCTTAAGCTGATTTTTTAGGACATTATTTTTGTCCTTTGTCATTATCACCTTTTGTTTTCAACATCACCACATATTGGTTTTTCTTCACAAAACGAAATCTTTTCATAAATTTCTTTAAAAATTTTATAAATTTTTCTTTGTATTAAATTTATACTTTAAACTGCAAAACTGCCACGTACGCGTGTAATCAGAAAATATTGGGCGTACAATAATAAAATGGCCAAACAACAAGCGATTTGATGCCATGAGAATTTCATACTGAATGAAAAATTTTAATTCGGAAAAAACTTCTACCAAATAAACCAGATGCAACCACGCAGTAACTGCGGCCAGAAAACAAATCAAATCAATGGCCACAAATATACTAGATGTTTTTCTTTAAATGAGAAATAAAATTAATAAGAAACAAAAATTAAATAAAAAAACTTTAAACGGACCAATAAAATTAAAAATCGTCAATTTAAAGGAAAAAAAAAATAAAATACATTTTATAGTAATAAGTACAAATTATTGGAAAAAAAATACCAATGTATTTGTTTTTTTTATTTTCTGCTGACTGAATTTATTTTATTTATTTGGCTTTTCCTTTAAATTGAATTTTTATATGTAGGAAATCAAGTTCTGTGTATTTACAAACAAATAAATTAAATTACAAGACTCAAAACTACAAGATATATTTATTTTTCTTCATTTTTTTGTAACGCTATTGGTTTGTTTGTTAGTTTTTAAATACATGTTACTAGTTTTTTTAATCTTACACGTAGTAAATATGTTTTAAAGTACTAGGAAATTCTGTTCATTCAGAAATTTTCAATTTATTTAGATTGTTGTCTGGAGACACAGAACATGTAAAGACTTTTATTATGAAATTTAATATAAATTTCTAATTTGAAATCAATTGATTTTTACAATAAATGTTGCTCTTTCATTCAAAGTTGCAAGTAATCAATTGAATGATTCAGAACTATATTTTATATGAAAAAATAACAAATTAAGGTGGGTTTTTATCGATGACGTTGAATATCAACTTATTATTTCCATAGTTCAATTTGATTATTTTAAAGTTCTGTCACAGACTCTTTTTTTCATTAGAATGACTAACGCCTTATGTTCTAGTCAAAAATCGCCTTTAAAATTAGCAGTAATAAACTTTAGCTTGTTATTATTTGTACAGACGATACATTACTTTGAGATACAGTAACTGTAGTTACTTCAAATACACACACACACACACATAAATAATCATTTGACAAATAGGAGTGCAATGATAAAGGAAAAAACTGCATCCTCTAGACCAAATACATTATTATTACAGTGAGTAAGTGTAACTTTGCATTACACACACGCATTTTAGTTCATGTGTATAAAAATGAAACACATTTTATGTTTTAAATTTTTTCAACACTTTATTGTTGTTTTTCCCATATAATGAGATTAATGAACTTTTAATAAGTATATTCTGCAGATACTTATACATACCTACATACAATACAATACCTACATATTTATTTACATTTCCATATACACCAAGTACTTACAAGCATATGATACTCTACTTTGTTATATGCATTTTATTTTATTTGTTTACAAAATAGTATATAATTTATTTTGTTTTCCTTAATAGAATTAACAAAATATCTTAAACACTATTTGCCTTGGCAAGATCCCAACAAAATTATAAGCGAAAACAATAACAAACAAATAAAAAATTATATTAAGTACTTCTCATTTAAAGTAGAACATTTCAAACTGTGACGTTCTTTTTGGAAGCAATGAACTTGATAAGTACGAACGAGTAAGATTGTATAAAAAAGAAGAAATTACGAAACTTCATTCTCTTTACATTTATTTATCTTGAAGAATTCATTATTTAGTGGAGCATATAATCATATTAAATGTAAATTGGTTTATTTAATTAATATCTTAAAATGAACGGTATATAAAGTTTAACTACGTGGGTTTTAAAGAGGAAAGTTAGCATAGATATGTACAATAGCCTGTAGCATAATCGCAAAATATTTGAAGTTGACAAGTTGAATTATATTCTTAACAAGACTTGAACCAGAACATAAATATAAACGAACCAGAATTGAACTAGAACTGAAGCAGAACTGAATTTGAACTGAACTAGAATTGAACTAGAACTAAACTGGAACTGAACTAGAACTGAACTAGAACTAGAACTGAACTAGAACTGAACCAGAACTGAACTAGAACTGAACTAAAAATGAACTAGAACTGAACTAGAACTGAACTAGAACTGAACTAGAACTGAACTAGAACTGAACTAGAACTGAACTAGAACTGAACTAGAACTAGAACTAGAACTGAACTAGAACTAGAACTGAACTAGAACTAGAACTGAACTAGAACTGAACTAGAACTGAACTAGAACTGAACTAGAACTGAACTAGAACTGAACTAGAACTGAACTAGAACTGAACTAGAACTGAACTAGAAGTGAACTAGAACTGAACTAGAAGTGAACTAGAACTGAACTAAACTGAACTAGAACTGAACTAGAACTGAACTAGAACTGAACTAGAACTGAACTAGAGCTGAACTAGAAC